AAATGCTGTCATTTATATGGATAATGCGCCTATACATAAAAAATTAGCGAATTTTCAGCTAGTGGCGAATAATCTGGAGGTTAGGAGATTCGACAGTCCGTATTCGCCTGAACTTAATCCATGTGAAGGATGTTTCTCTGTGATCAAAGCCTATATCAAGGAGAAGTTGAGTGAGAGGGACCCGATGACAGATAGGCAGAGAGCTGAAGAGCAACACATGTATTTATACCAGTATCGAGAAAATATGCTGCGAGGAATGTGTGATGATGCTATGCAAGAGCTTACCACTGACAAGATAAGAGCCATGTATAGGCTATCGGATACTTGGGTGAACAAAGGGAGTCAAGGGGTCGCTTTTTGAATTTTTTCGATGTCATCCCAAGTTTACATAGAGCTCTCGATGACTCGGGAGCTTCCTCACTATGTAATGCGTGTGATTTTATAAGTGGGCAATGAGTTTAAACCGTATGTCAACATGTCGAGTTGAAGTGTCAAACTTGGATGCGTATTGTCAAACTTGTGTGCGTATTGTCAAACTTGTGTGGTTTATTGTCATTCTTGATTGTGATATATTCTGGCGGTGTCAAACATGAATTCTCACTGTCAAACTTGGTTGTAACTGATGAAACAAGTGTCAAACATGGATTCTCACTGTCAATCTTGATTGTAACATAATTGAACTTTGACAAACTTGGATTTTCATTGTCAATCTTGATGGTAACATAATTGAATTTTGACAAACTTGGATTTTCATTGTCAATCTTGATGGTAACATATCTCGATTGTGACATACTTGAATTCTCAAAGTTAAACTTGATTGTAACAGAATTGAATTGTGACAAACTTGAATTCTCATTGTCACTCTTGATGGTAACATTGTCATTCTTGTCTGCTCACTTGTCAAACTTGCACGGGAAAAGGTGTAGTCGCGTTGAGGAACCGTCCAAACCAACCGAGTCGGCCGACCGTAACATAGGCCACCACCATTATCGAGTGCTAGTCGTTAGTCGATTATCTTTTGTCAAAACCAGATTGCTATCCTATGTAGACGATTGAGGTTCTTGTGTTCATAGTATAGAGGCCGATCGTCCCGTGGGGGTCAATACCGTGAAGTAGGGGGGGCCTCCATATCGGTGTTGGTAGTCTATAAGGCGTCTTTGCTCTATGGCGAACTATGGGGGGACTACGCCTACTCCACAGCAGCAACCACAGCAGCAGCAACAAGGGGCTATACAATACTCTGCCGACCCGGCGGAGGCTCTCATGCAGTATCAGCAGGCGATGGCTATCTACCAAAGGCAGTATGCTGCTGCGGTAGGGGGAGGTAGCTACTAGGGGTACTGGTGCAGGTGGCCTGCAGGTACAACAGCACTTTGTAAGGCAGCAGCAGGAGGTCGTAGCTACGGCTATTGCCATGCAGCAGCAACAACAACAGCCATGGCACCAGCAGCAGCAGCAAGGGCTTTTCCCTTCTCCTCCTCCCTCCCAGCAACAATCGTCTATGGGCCCACAAGCCTTACCGCTCCAGCACACCCCTCCTGCTCAGCAAAGTTTGCCCATTGGTCCTCAACCGTCTGCTACTACACAACAGGACCCTGTGCAGCAGCAAGTGCCTTTCGGTCCCCAGAGAGTTGCTTTACAAGAGCAGCAGCAGACTCTTCCACAGAGGATGGTCGGAGCATACCAGCAGTATCAACCTCAACCCGCTGCACAGACAACTACTGGTCGGCCGAGCACAAACCCACCGTACGTGGTCAGTAGTGATGCCCCGCCGCCTCCCCTGCAACAGTCCTACCCACCCCGCGCGGCCCCCCTCCAGACCAGCCAGCAATCACCAGTACAGTACCCTGTAGGGCGAGGGACGTTCTCGGTTGCCGTCATGGACACCTACGACTGCTACCGAGGCCGAACCATCGGGCAGCAGCAGCAGCAGCAGGTGACTGCTCTCGCGGACGTGCCAACTATAGAGTATAGAGGAAGGCATACCGCGCCGTTGTCGTCGTCTACTAGGGTGGCCCCTCAGCTGACAGAACCACGACCGGTGAATCGGTTTGACCAGCGGAAGGGCGGTGGAAAGGGTAGTAAAGGCCGTAAGAAGGGCGGCAACAAGTCTAATGCCAATAAAACCCCTTTGGGACCGCGAAAGATACCAGTCGACGGAGCGAAGCCATCACAGCAGCAGGAGCAGCAGGGGAAGGAGGGAGTGGCTGTAGGCCGAGCGCCTCTAGGGGAACTGTGCGTTTCGGTAAAGGAGGGTCCCACTACTGCTGTGAAGGAGGAAGCCCCCAAGCTGGATAGAGAGGCTATGGCGGACATGTACAAGCAGGCGATGACACAGTCCGACGTCCCGCAGTGGAAGTAGGGATGCTGGGGTGATGCCGGTGTAAGGCAGTGAAGATCTGGTATAGGTTGGCTGTTGCGACAACAGAGGTGGTGGGGGGAGGAAAGAATAAGACGGGACGTAACGATGTTGTTGTCGATCTGACTGGTGATACTGGCGCTGTTAAGACTACCGCAAGTGGTAAGACCGCGACGAGTTGTATGCGTTGTATCATCGAATTAAGGGGTGACTCCTGACAGATACCCCCATTGTTGGTCGCAAGGGGTCTGGAAGGCTACAGAAGGCCACTAAGCCCAAGTTCGCGCGTCGATCACAGCAACGTCAGCAGCAGCAGCAGCAGTCCTTCCCTCCTCCCCCTCCACCACCACCGCCGCCGCCTCCTGGGGGAGAAGAGGCTGGTAATTGGACAGAAACTGGCCAGTGGAAAGGGTCAACTACAAGTAGTGGAGGGGCCGGGAATAGAACCATAGACCTTATGGATGGAAGTTCAGAGGGGTAACCTCTAGACTAAAGTAATCATTTTTCAGTAATTACAACTCGTATTGAGTACTCCGAGGAGATGAAGGAGATCTTACCACCACTACGAGTACACGAAAGCGAACAGGTAGCAACGGCCCCCTGATGTAACCATGGCTTCACGCGCGAGGAGAGGGGGTCTCATAGACGTTTTCGTGGATTTGCGGTATGACTGTTACCTCCTCATCGTAGATCATACAGCTGGCACGCGACAGTCGGTCGAGGTTCAGCCCTAGCAGTGCCATGATGGTGGGGAAGGAAATGTGGGACTCGGGGAAGGAGTGTAAACATCGGTTACAGATCTACCCTCGAGGGTGAGTAACAACAGCTCGCCCTCGTCTTTGGTGCTCATATTCCGTATACAGTTACTTCTATGCTGGTACGGGGCAGGCCACTACCCCTCAAGACACTTGGCTAGCAGTCAATGTGGTGGTTGAAGCGACCGAGCGTAGGATGATGCCTCTCATCATAGACGCCCAAGGCGATCTCGTCAGGATCACCAGGGGACTTCTGGCGGCTGCATCCGGAAGGCTTAAGGCGACAAGTGATGTTGTGGATACCAAACTTGAAGTAATACTAAGGTTAATAAAGCGCTACTACGAGGTGTAATAATCAAGGATGGCGCAGGGCTTCGTTCGCCAGCGTTAGAAAAACCGAGGTCACGCTCCCAGACCGCTTCCGGACCTAGTGGGTCACATGGGACTGTTAGTCTTATTCACTACTACTGCGAATGTGTTGGTGATTTTCAACATTTTTCTGTTGTTGAAGCTTTCCCGAAGGTGATGCGGGAACTATGTTTACTCTCTGAAGCGAGGAGTAAACTCTATACAGGGTTCCGTCCATAGTTTACCGAACAACGCTTGCGAGGAATGACTAAGATGAGATCTCCATCAGGTGTCCGAGCACGTCTATCATCCGCTACGGTCCGACTACTTTCACACAACAACAACCGACAGTGTAATAGCAGCATCTACGGCAGCCATCGTGGATGGGTTCCCTTCCACCTCAGAGGATGGACGGCCCTGCTAGACCTACAGGGGGATTTGGACCATCTTATTAACGCGGGGTGGGTGGACAAGAAAGGGCGTCTACTATTACGGAGTATGGTGGTTAACACAGAGAAGGAGATGCTCGTGAATGTAAGAAAGGGAGCAGACACCGTATGTGGTCACGGGGGGGCTCAGACTGTAACGGTGATGTGGCTGAAAGATTGAGTCCTCCGATGGCTACACACTAGCACAGCTATAGACTTTGGTTTGTTGATTTCAACATTGCTGTGATAGACCGTAGCCCTACCCTCCGTCCTCGCAATCATAGTAAGGCGGGTTGCCTCACTCTGCCTCACTTGTTCAGATATCGTTTACATCGTCATGGCTGAAGGCCAAGCAGGAAGTAGTCGACGCTAGACTGTCTGCTCAGCGGTTCGAGGAAGAGGATATGAACCGTGAGGTGCGGTAGGCGAGAGCTCTCCTTCTTCTCCTTCCTCGCTCGGAGCCTGTAAGCTTGACGGCATATCAGAGCTTATTAGTGTCAATGAGTGGGGCCCGGTCACTGTCGGGCTAGTATGAACCGAATGGGATATAGCACTACGAGAGCATGCTATGCATCTTAGTGATACTCACGGACTAGTATCACTAAGATGCATAGCATTCACGCACTGTCCGTGAGTCCACTTATCGTCGTTGCCAGGCGGAGCGGGCTCGAGAGTTGGCCAGAGCCCAGGCATTGGCTGGCTTGCAGATGGCTACTCCCAACGGGGTAGGTTTGGTAGTAGTGGTAGTGATAGTATGGTATGTGGCAGACGCCAGTGTCGACTGAATCAGCGGTGAAGTTGGTGGGACCGGAGGCATGGACTTCTAGTAATGCACGAAGCCCCGCTGCTCCTGTCAAGTAAGGAGGAGATCTGGTGATAGAGACCTCTTATCATATCTGAGCGAATCTGTGCTGACAGACCACCGTAGTGATTATTGTCTGTTGCGACGGGGTGGCCTTCGGTGCTGAATGAGTAGTGTTCTTGTTGATGATAAAGTCCTCTAGAAGATGACCTACTTCTTTCGGGGGACTGTCATGGCTGCTCGCTCAGGACACCCGAGTCAGCGGTTAAGGAAACGCCAGAGACTAAGTCTACTGACCAGGAGAAGGAAGGCTCTGGATGGGATCATCTCAATGCTACCGAGCCCAGTTCTTGGACGGCTCCTAAGAAGGACCAGGAGGCTGATGGCTGGGGTCAACGGTTGAAGCATTCGGCTGAGAAGCATCGGGGAGAGGGGTCTAAGGACGACTGGGGGGATGGGAAGAAGAAGTGGTGGTATGAATGGAAGTGGGACGAGTTGAAGAAGGAGTGGTATAAAGATTGGAAAGAAATCAAGGAAGGGGAAGTATCTGATGATGGAGGAGATTGGGAAGACGTACGTCCCTGTGAGGGCTGCCAGTGACTGAGAATTCTCTCAGGGTGAGCCCTCGAGGGAAGCTGTAATGCCTCGGTCCTTCTCTATGGAGTCTCCGACAGCAGATTCAGCACGGCATGACGATACGGGATTCACGACGGTACACGGGCGAGCTTTTCATGTGTTTATAACTCCACCCGCGGTGTGCAGTGACGTTCTCACACAGTATGTTGAGGAACTTCAGCTCGTCCTTGTAATGAGCAGTGATTTCCACACATACTGTATTAGAATTGAAAATAGGATTTTTTTTAGACATTGAAGTTCGCGACTTGTACTTGAGTATAAGAGGTACATCTAGCATGTTTGGTGAAGAAATCGGCTCGGAATGTGACGTAGTGAACGAAAAACCTCTTTGTCGTGAAGTGTGCATTTTAGATGTCGCGTATTATATAACGTATTCCCTCTATCGGTGGTCGCTGGTATTTGTCGTTTTCTCAGTCACCCCATACGGACCGACCAGACTGGTTTCAGGGACGTGGCGGATCTCTTGAGCGACAACAACGGCATTTTCCAGAGCGGTTGGAAGCCCCTCCGTTACCATGGGATGAGCTGCGGTTCGAGCGATACCCACAGAGGGAAGGAACGCGACCGTGGGATGAGGGAGACCTGACAGAGCGGTATCACTATAAGGAGGATGTTGATGACGATGACGGACCTTGGCACGACGTGACGCTGCCACCACCGCCACTGACTAGGACCTACGATGTGGCGGCGCCTCAGGTAGGTTCATCGAGCCCTCGGGGGGGGATAGTTATCTAACAAATAACTGTTTTGCTTGTCGTAAGTGGAGAGCGTCGTAGAATTGAGAGTTCCACCCTAGTGATATGAAAAAGACCAGTGAAAAATATATTTCACGACTACTGCATAGCGCGAATATCGCGTTTTACGCGTAAAACTTCGCGTAAAACGGGTGAAACTCCAATGTAGGCAGTAGCCTCATCGGAGCTATAGCCGTCGAGTGGCTCTTCATCGCAACAACAGCGATCCTGTGTTCCTCATAGCTGCACATGTCCGTCCATAACAACCACTGAAAACGACCTCATATCAGAGAGGGAGATGCAGAGATACAGCTCTCTTTTAGGATCATATTTTGGTTCCTGACCATCCTTCGCCGAGACGATACAGTAATGATATCGCAGTGGAGAGACGTTCTCGAGGTGGCGGTGGCAAAGGCTCAGGAAAAGGGAGAAGGTAGCCACTTCTCGGCTGCTGGTCAGGGAAGGTGACTTCAGGTCCCACGGTGGTAGAAGATCGAAGAAACGAAGGCGTGTGGGATCATCTAATATGATGGAAGAGGGCATGTCAGAAGACAGTTATGGTGGTGTCGAGAGAGGTATCCTCTACGACAGGCCAGCGGGCCATGACTTTGACTACTATGCTAGGCAACAGTAGGTGGGTTCCTAACGTTAAAAAGGCTCATAAATTTTGCCGAATAAATTCGCTTTGACTACTCCCACCAGAGCCACAGCAGGTTGGGATGGCTGCCCTTCCGCTGTGTTTGGTTGATTTATTCTGTGTGATATTTTCTACCTGCGCATGCTTTGCGTTAAACAGGACGTGCTCATCAATCGCGCGCGCCCAAAAATTATATAAGCCACCGGGACATCAAATTCACCGGTTTATGGTATAGTTCTTTATCTTATTAAGAGTTGGTGGATTTGGTAGTGTTTCCTATCGTTATACAGCTCTTCGCGATAATCCGCGATGGTTAGTTTCCTAAGCTTCCACATCCACGTTGGTGAGTCGTGTCCCCTCGAGACCAACACAGCGTATTTTCCATAACCATGCGGAGGCTTCTCCCGGGTATCTCTAGTAGCAGGACGGTATCTCTTTGGTATCTCTAATTTTCAACGTAGAGATTACTATATGGGAGAAGCGACAAGTCAGTGACCGCGATGTGGTGCCACATCGGCGAGGTGACTTTCTTTGAAGGAGCTGCAAATGTTGAGAGGATACTATGATCCCTCCTACTCTCCTACCTGTTCCCTTTGTATTATCACTATGTCAGTGTGGAAAAATATGCACGTGGTCAACCCATGTGTCGGTAACAATATCAAAATTTCGAGGAAATTTTGGGAAAGTCTTGTTGGTTTCCGATCACATCTACGCTAATTCGTATATCAAATCTTATACCGAGTAAGGCAACGCCCGAGCTGAGCTGAGGAGAGCGAACATATATTCCGACACTGCAATACGGGTGGCACACAGCGGAACAGCACCGCAGTGGTTTCTGGAACATCCCGTATGTACAGCACTTCTGCTCAAAGTGGGTAAATCAACACCGTCATTGCTAGCAAGTTTCAAAGGCTTCAATCGTCTGCCTCACCAGAGAGGACCAGACCCGTACAAAGAACGGAAGTTATCGCATCATATAGACATGAGCTCCTCGTCGTAACACGGGCAGTGTGTTTGCTGTCACAGAGAATGTAGTTTGTCTCTCTCAAACAAACTACTCAGATGTGTGAGGATGCTAATATGATAGTTACGAATCGTGGATATTTAACAACAGGGCAAGGGGGCAGGCCCTGGGCAGCAAAGCCACCTTGGACAGGTGGTTTTGAACTCCTAGAGTCCCAGGGTTCAAACGACTCCATCGTGTCTGTGCCCTAGGGAACTGATGGTGCGATATAGTGGCAAACGTGAGTTCGCAGCATCCCCAGGCCGCGACATATGATATCAGTCCACCTGAGTCAGCGGGTATTAGCGTGGATATCCATAACAGTTGGTCTTTTGGCATGTAGTTGAGATAACCAATATCCATCTACTGTGGTCCTTTTCCATTCAGCCTTCAGTCCACTCGCTGAGCTGTCTCCAGTGTGGCATCCGGTTTAGAAGTAGACCACTATTATATAGGAGTGTTCTATTCAGAGCCATTGGATGTGAAGTTGAGGAGGTGGTTGAATTAGAGCAATGAGCGCCTTCCAAGGCTCGTCACAGTCAACAGTCTGAACGGAAACGCTACAACCCTGAAAATAAATTCCTAGATTTGCCATATCAATCGGGCTGACGGTCATAGAACTCGGATTTATGGTCGATGCTTAACCGTTAAGCAGTCCTTGTTTGTATCCACTGAGCACAGTGCTCACGATGATGATCACGCGATTTCTTCCGAAAATATTCGTGAAGTTGTGTGGTCCAATCCCAATACATCCCCGCATGTGCTATCTACACTGCACGCGGACTATTGCTCTCGTGATGGTCACCTGTGAGTCGATTTCTCTTTACTCCTCTTGACGGCGTGAGACTTCTTCTATCCAGCCGTGCTACACTCGAGGAGATCTTCCATGGAGTTCTTGTCGTGTTCGGCGGTCCCCGACGATCGTGGGATGTCCTCTACGGCATCATGATTCGAAGTCGAGAGAGCCGGTTGGAGGCCCACTGTGTTTGGCAACTCCTACAGTACATGATAATGCGTCCTGTCATGAGCTGCAATCAGCCTCGTGTTATCAGTGCGCGAATAGCCCTCGTCTCTCACGGAAGGCTCGAGTGTCGATCATTTTCTCACGATTGGGATCAGCTTCACATGCCAACAGTACTTGAGCAGCTGCGATAATGTCCTCAATTACCTCTACCCGAAATAATAAAACGACCGAGAGGCCAACGGTCAACTTCGACCGTAGTGATTTCTACTGGTTACATATTCGAGGTCGTTCCATGGTAGCACGTCGGGGGTGCATTACAACTTGCCGCGTTCGCTTCAGCGCCCCGGTACCCAATTCGCCGTGGCATCCACTCACCTTGCTACTCTTGTTAGCAATGGTGTCAACTTTGCATCAGGCCAACGAACTAGGCCCAAGATTTTTATTATTGCACGGTTGGCTGCAAGACCACACTGCATGGGGGCGATTGCCGCATCAACTTATCGCGCGCTACGGCGGAGAGGCTGTTTTGTTGGGTAGGGATATGCTCCTGCGGAAGTAGTTGTTTATTGACCATCAGATTTCCTCGGGATGGGCCGATCGCCCGACCCCCCTGAGGTGCAGGACCTAACGCCGGACATTCTGCTGGGACAAGTGGAGTCCTGCGTTCGGAAGATTGGGTGGTTCGAAGACAATCCCGACCGCAGAATTGTGAGTCTCAGTATGTTAGATGCAGTCTCATGAAGGTCTTGTTTGGTCCACTCTCGACGACAGTGTTTTGTTGCTTTCGCTCAACTCGACAACTCCGAAAAATTATCAGCTCGTGATAATCTGTGGAGATTGAAGATCTTACGCTTTAGGTTGTTGCTGGTATGTCGCTCGGCGGCGGCATAGGTTTGAGGTTCGCAGTTCGCCACCTTGATCTCATAGCGCGCGTTGTACGTTGAGCACGCCGCCTCCCTATTGAGTTCCCTTTCTTTGCAGGTCCTAGTGGCCCCCTCTGCTCTACCTGATACACGCACGTTGTCTGTTGTACACTGGGCAGGCCGAGGCTTCACCGAGTAGTTCAGCAAAGGCCTTGACAGGCGTAACCTCACTTCAGGCGTATCGGCTTGGGCAGGCCGCCACGTCAGCTCAATCCAGCGGAAGCCATCTTCAAGCCAGTTGTATCCGCAGTCGGCCGAACAGCAAGGCTACTCGACAGGGGCCGTCGACGAGGCTTGCTACATCGTATAGCATGCAATGCTAACCTTGTATGTCAATTCTTTCTTCACCAGCGCTAATGGTGATAGCATATATAGGTTCAGCACGCTCCCAACTACGGTTGCTCATGGGAGCATCCCCAAAAACTAGCTGATCACGGAGTTCCTCTATCACACATCTCTGCTGGCCTCGACTATGTGGTGCAGCCTCATCTATCAAAGTGAGTCAACAGCGTAAGTCCCAATGTCATGCTCAAGAGGCTCGCGATGTAGGTACATATGTGGTAGAAGAAACGGTGTCCATCTCCTTCGGTGGTCCACTATGACGCATGAGTGGATGTGCACTAATGTTGACTCTTTGAATTTGGACAAGTCGGTCGCGCTAGTGATCTGTTCTCATTGCACTCGTCGTGGCGTCGTTTCAGCTATCCCCAACTGTGGATCGATGTGAAGCATAATACACACTATGTGGAGCACGTCGATGATCACGTGAGGCCATTGACTGCTCTCTACGGCCCTCTCTGTATTGGTAGGTGCTTATGCACGACGGACAGTGGATTAAGCCTAGGAGCCTATCGCAGAGCAGTCGGCTGTGACAAGTACACCGCCACTGCCAACAGCATTATTGCTCAGACGACCAAGTGTATAACACTGTTTGATTTCATGTGTGCTTTTGGGTTCCCTCGATTGGTATGGTTTGTGTTACGTCGAATGACAACACTGCATAGAGAGAAGACCTCTTGGTGGGAGACGAAAATCTTTCATTGATATACCCACAGCAGATCAGTCCTTCCATTCTCTGTGTCAAGTGATTGCAATGTGCTGTACATGTGTTCACAATCAGAGAATCACCTCTTCGCTTCGTTTCCTCAAACAATGATCTGCCAACAGTATGGTTTTTGGATGCACTGAACCCATGCGAGTGATACTCTTCACATTAAATCCCGATACCGCTATCTGTATTCCGTTGAGTTTTGAATCCATTCGCTTCTGCCGGGAGTGACAGGAGCTGTGTGAGGGTTTCCTACTTTGTTAGTGTAGCGGCATGGTCCTACACTGTAACAACTCAATCAATATCTTACTACGAGAAGCATCGAATCTGTTGCATGTACATAACATCATCGGCATCTCTGAGTGTATAATCACAGTAACATGATACTTTGATGGCTCAGCGTCGCATACTGCGTTCGTTGCATACGCAATCTAAAAGTTCTCTACAGTAGCGGCCCATCATCACCATGCTCGGCGTTGGTGTGTCTACTGGCGGGACCAGTAGGAGGAGGCTGCAGCCTGGGGACAACCCCGGTAGCCGAGGCGAGACCACCAGACCGCATCCGAACCTAGTGAATGAAAGGAGACACTTGAAGACGGCCCCGACAGAATGATCACCCACTTGAGCCGTCGAGTCGGTCGAATCTTCATCTTCATCGTCAATGCCGAGCAAGTCGGGTACACCGCCCCCGCCTTCTCCTGAGCTCTCACTGCTCCTAGGAGACTCTATGCTCTGCAAGCAGGACACATCCTTCCGATATAGTGCTGACCAATGGACCCACCCTGAGCTCTTCCCCAGTCTCGTCGAACTTCTTGTGCTTGCCCACGTTAGATGAGTAATGCTCAAGTTGCGGGGCGTCGTCGAAGCTATAGGAGGCCACATTCGAGCCACTCCTGCTTCATCACTCACTCGTCAGGGTTCATATCGTCAGTGGCACTAACAGCAAGCCTAGCACTGCGACCAATCGTCGAGTACTTCACGTATCTGCGACGACGGAGTGAATCTCTACGACCACTGGCTCCCTACTCTAGCGTCTCGAAGCCATAGTTGCCGATAGTATTCTTCCACCTCTCTGATCCCGACACATAAGTTCCACCAAACATGAGAGCTACCAGAAATCCGATAATCATCAGGGTTGCTACGGCGCCTGAGAAATGGTGACACGCTGGTAGCCGGAATAGAAGTGTCACCCCTGGAGAATGGACTGTGGCTAGGACAGGGAACTCGCTCCTTTTGAGGACGCCATCCTCCTTCACACGTATCCCCGACAACTTTTCTGTAAGCATCAGCAAAGAACATGCCAGAGGAAGTACACTGCATTTCAGCAGGGGTAAGCACCTGCCCAATGGTGGGGTACAAGGCCTCAGCCACCTGAGCTTACCGCATCAACGTCCACAGGCTTGCAGTCGACGCTGCCGATCTTGCGGGCAAAGCCGAGCTCACAGTCAAAGTCCTCTTTCGTACAGGGACAGTTATGGCGTATTACAGGCCTCTCAAATTTCTCACCTGCAAGCCTTCGAAATATCTCTACTAATGCGATGGAGTTTCCCCATCACTATGCACATTTCCCACAGTACAGCACATGGTTCTATCATCGGCGGTCTGTACGACACAACGAGACCCCTCACCATTGAAGCACTCAGAGTCCTTCTTCCGTCTGACATAGCTGATGACCCTGCCCAGCAGACAAGCATCGCCAGTAGTCCTGACTAAGCTTATACCACAACCAACGAGGTTGGCAAGCTGAAGCACCTCCCATCACTCGGTATCCACGTCTCATAGTCACTGCCGGCTGAGTCCGCCGCCCACGCGCCCTGGCATGGAGGTTGGCCCAATGTATCGAAATCGATGTGGTAGAGAACACCTGCATAAACTGGGGTCCACCTTGGGAAAGCTCAGTAATGCAACTTAGTCTACTCAGTCCAAGACAAGACACTTGTTTTGACCTCCTACTTATGCGATATGAATGCTAAGACAATGACCATTCATGCAGTGCGTATTTCCAAGACTATCATAATATTCACGATCGCATCTACGACAACAGCTGAGAGATGCCTCGTGTTCTGTACGATCAATACCCAACCTCATTGTCACTGTGTTGACATACTCGACAGTTGCAGACCAGCCCACGCACTCTCTACACTGTGCGATGGTGGTGGTCTTATACGTACTACATCAGTGTTAGGATATATGTTTGCTTCCTCAGCTGAATCCAAGCGCTTACACTCGAAATCGGGTAGAAGCGTACAAAAATCAATAAGAATTTCTCTTAATCCCTCACAGACACATGCAGCCGACCATGTGCATGTTTTTCCACAGGAACATGACAAAACGCGACTACGAACATACAACTGTTGCTCCCTCACCCTCCAATGCGACCTCCTACCAGCATCACTCCGTGTGCCATGCATCAAGAACTTCGTGGAAGTCGAAGTCGGCTCAGTGACGATGTTGTCAACGGCCATAGCGTGCTCGGACACATCAAAGTCGTACCTGGATGCTACTGATCTTGTTGCTAGGGGATCACGAAACTACCAGCTGTGGCCTTCATTCCAAGAGAACACCACTTGGCGAGTCTTGTGAATGTCATCAGCCATCACGACCAGACCTCCGTGGTCGCCAAACTCGTATATGTAGGCACCTACTCAGCAGCGATGCTGCTATCCACCACAAATTTTGTTCGTCTCGGCTCATCGGAGCTCAGGAGGTCATTCATGAATGAGCGTACAGGTGTTCAAGTAACCAGCGAAATTTTCCCAATTTTTTTTCAAAATTTACATATTTTCACCGATACATGCATTGACCATGTGCATATTTTCCCACACTATTGCCCATACATGGTCTTCCCCTTCGACACACCTTTGTGCGCTTCGATCCAAGTAAGGCCACCATCACGAGAAAGATAGGTGTTAACCTCGTCATTTTCAAAGCGCAGATAGGGACCAACGTTGCCTGCAACAACTCAACTACATATACTACCAGTGTTGGAGTAGGAATATATGTTCCCTTTCCTCAGCTGAGCTCAGGAGTTTCCTATACAGTGTTGGAGTAGGAATATATGTTCGCTTTCCTCAGCTGAGCTCAGGAGTTTCCTATACAGTGTTGGAGTAGGAATATATGTTCGCTTTCCTCAGCTGAGCTCAGGAGTTTCCTATACAGTGTTGGAGTAGGAATATATGTTCGCTTTCCTCAGCTGAGCTCAGGAGTTTCCTATACAGTGTTGGAGTAGGAATATATGTTCCCTTTCCTCAGTTGAGCTCAGGAGTTTCCTATACAGTGTTGGAGTAGGAATATATGTTCGCTTTCCTCAGCTGAGCTCAGGAGTTTCCTATACAGTGTTGGAGTAGGAATATATGTTCCCTTTCCTCAGTTGAGCTCAGGAGTTTCCTATACAGTGTTGGAGTAGGAATATATGTTCGCTTTCCTCAGCTGAGCTCAGGAGTTTCCTATACAGTGTTGGAGTAGGAATATATGTTCGCTTTCCTCAGCTGAGCTCAGGAGTTTCCTATACAGTGTTGGAGTAAGAATATATGTTCCCTTTCCTCAGTTGAGCTCAGGAGTTTCCTATACAGTGTTGGAGTAGGAATATACATTCCCTTTCCTCAGCTGAGCTTGGGAGTTTCCTCACTAACAATTCAAGTTCATATACGAATGCGGCTAGAAATGTATAGGAATCAATGAAAATCTCCAAAAATTTCCTCAGAATTTTCAAATTGTCACCAACTCATGTGATCGACTATGTGCATTTTTCCACACGGTATTCAAGTCTCGATAAGGTTATCAATCAAAGCAGGAGTACTGCACTGATATAACACATCGCTAAAAAGATCGACCTACAGGCTGTTGGCAAAAATGTTTATTTTTCATGCGAATCGGGTACAGAAACCATCGAGAATTTCCGGAAATTTCCTCAGAATTTTCGCATTGTCGCCGACTCACGTAGCTAACCATATTCTCCTACACTGTTAACAAATACCAAGATACTAAATACTCACCTGTGCCCATAATAAGGCCAACAGCAGTCTCCAAGGAGTAGAACGGAGCATAGTTATGGAAGTTAGTGATACCATGCAAGTGGAGAAAGCACCTGCGATAGAGTCGGACCGGGCAAGTCTAGCGGCCTCCTCACCTATCTCTTGGGCACTCGATCGCCTTTCCTCTAGAATCCACTCTAGGTGGTATTAGATACGACCACACACTACCCTTGTCGAAAGATATAACCGTGCCTATCGGAATACCCTACACCACGATGTTACAGGGACTAATGAAACTTGGGAAGATAATCTCCGCAAGGGTTTGACAATAATGGGAAAAATTTTCCTAATGTGATGATGACATTTACATTGCAAACTGTTCGCAGAATGTGTTCCTAGCCATACGCGGAAAATTCAAAATGAGTTCCCCCTGGAACATTGAAGTTTCACCCGTTTTACGTGAAGTGGCGTAAAACTCGGTGAAAAACGCGATATTCGCAGCCTGTAGTAGATGTGAAATATGTTTTTCACAAGTGTTTTTCATATCACTAGGGTGAAACTCTATTATTGGATGACTCCCTAGACTGTTACGAATCATGCTTTCGTCCTTTCCCGCCTTCCCACGGCCATGCTGACGACCCATACCAAAACTGGCGTCCTCAGTTTCCTGAGATTCAAAGTGAGCAGACTGGTGAAGCTGCTAACTCCAACTACTCACGCCCTCAACGGAGATTTCCTCATCGTAACCGTCATTGTCGAGATCAGTGTCCATGAAGTTGGCCATGTACACTCCTTCAAGGGAAAGTACTTTGTCGAATTCACAGTCACCATTGCTTCCTCGGACCTTGCAGTAGTGAAATGCACCAACTACAGTATCATCGGAGATTCATTCCGACGTGAATATTCCTACACTGTTGTTCACTCTTACAATGGAGTAATATTTTAAACGCCTTCAATTTTTGTGAGTTCGAGAGTCAACTTTGAGTAATATCAACATGATAACAATGTGAATCGATTGACACCAACGTTTTAGAAGCGTTACGTAGTCTACAACCATACTCTCTAAATCTAGATATGCATAACTGTTTGGTTCGCACTGTTATGACTACCAGGAGCAATTCAGTTCAAGTGGAGTTCAGAAAAAGGGTCGAGACCCCTAAATAGGCCACAACGATCAAACCAAGCTCACCTGCAGATTGTGAGTAAGGCTGATATCAAGCCTAGTGTTTAACCATACTCTCAAATGGAAGAAATTTCATATATGCATAACTGTTGTGTAATAAGATGCCTACATTGTTTGGTAAGCTGAGACTGTATCGGACCCCGTCCTTGTCACTGACATAGACATTGCCGACTCCACCACTGCCAGGGGAGTCATGATTCACATGGAGCATTACAGCACCTATAAAGGGTATGCCTCGTACGGCACTGGTAAAACTACCTTCACTGGTGTCGAGTATAGTGTAGCTTTTCTCTTCTAGTTTTACAGGCAGTCTAGCTGCAGTGAAGTGCTCACCACCGTCAGCTGACACCATCAACTTGACACTCTGGGAATCTGAACGAAAGATGGTATGAATAGTCGTAGTAGCAGCAATAGTAGTAGCAGTAGTAGTATTACTTTTATCCACTAATTTTGCCACGAAAATGAAGCCATTACTGATGAGGAATTTATTGCCTTGTGAGACGGCCTGGTAGAAGGTATGACCTGATCGAAGGATCAATGCTGTTCAGTGTTGGAAAATACTCTCAAATGTCAGAAGGTGACAGGATGAAAAATTATGGGGAATTCTCGCTGGTTTCTGTATATTTCTACCCGAGCACTTCCATAACTGCTAAGGAGGGGAGGGAACATATATTCCTACTCCAACACCGAACCTCTTCAAATGACTTACCCATGTCGTCGCTGTAGGCGAAATCAACACCGGCGGACCAAAGGGTCAGTTTCGGCTGATCTCCTGATTTGAACCTGGGAGAGAATCTATTACTTACAGTGTGAACCAAACCGTCATGTAAAGTAATATATTCAACACCTTGAATTTTCAGGAAGTTCGAAAGTCAACTTTGAGTAATATCAACATGATAACAATGTGAATCGATTGACACCAACGTTTTAGAAGCGTTCCGTAGTCTACAACCATACTCTCTAAATCTAGATATGCATAACTGTTTGGCTCGCACTGTACAAAATGGAGAAATTTTGGTATTCACCTGAAGTGAGTGAGATAAATACGATCCTCTTGAGAGAAAGCCTTGTCACCCCAGTCGAACTGGACAACATAGGACTGCACCAATAGGAAGGTCCGGCCTCCGTCCTAATGGAGAAACCAACTTCACAGACTCCTGATTTATGATATGTATTCGGGCGCAGTGGGGGGAAACTACATGTGTCGGTGACACTATGAAAATTCCGGAGAAATTCGCGTTAGTTTCTGTACACTTCTACCCTAATTCGCATCTAAACTCTTATGATTAGCGAGAAAACTCGTCAGCTTAGGTGAGGAAAGCGAACATATATTCCAAGACTGTACTTGTGTTAGGAACAGTGAGTGATGGCAGGGGTCGACATCAGCGTCGTTACGCATGCCTCTAGACTCGCACGCCTCGGTCCATGTCGACATGAGGGCCCATCTGAAAGGTCAATCATCAGTGGTGAAATATGCACATGGTCAACCACATGTGATGGTGACAATGTGAAAAGTGTGAGGATATTTGGGACATTTCTTGTTGGTTTGTGTACACTCCTACCCGAATTCGTATATAAACTGTTATAATTACTAGAAAACTCCTGAGCTCAGGTGAGGAAAGCGAACATGTATTCCTACTCCAACACTGTATAGGAAACTCTTCTGAGCTCAGCTGAGGAAAGCGAACATGTATTCCTACTCCAACACTGTATAGGAAACTCTTCTGAGCTCAGCTGAGGAAAACGAGCATGTATTCCTACTCCAACACTGTATAGGAAACTCCCGAGCTCAGCTGAGGAGAGCGAACATATATTCCTACTCCAACACTGTCTATGATTTGCATTTTTACTTACTGTGAGCGCGTCGGATGGAAAACGTAGGAATGTATTCCTTTGTACTTCACAACACGCCAGCGCTGGCCAGCATCATCACTGATGAAGTGAACCTAGGGGGAGGAGGAGTAGTAGGTTGTTCATGCTAAGATACGAGCGTACTCGGTGATTGGACACTGCTACGACCATGTTCTTGTCATTGTCGTTAGCAACCATCGAAATGAGGTAGAAATCACGACTGCCAGACGAGCTGTAATCAGCGTAGGTCCTGAGGGTGAATACATTGACAATGAAGTAGTGCTGTATAATATGTTTGCAATCAGGAGTTCTCTCGCTCATAAAAGAACTTTACATACGACTTGAACGTGCAGAAACCAATGAGAATTTCTAACTTTTATCCCCATGAGTTGACCATGTACATATTTTCCCATACTGTAATAGGATGCAAACTAGAGGCTTACGTAGCTGAGCCACTGCTCACAAGAGCGTTGGTGATTTCATCCCAAACGTCACCACCGTTGATCGATCTGACAATGCAGGGCATGATATTGCCAGCGGCAGGTGAGCGAACCTGTAGATTCTCCCACGAGTAGTTCTCACTAGGACAACCTTATTGTCAATACCGAGCCATAGCATGTCGGCTACAGCACTGTCGAAGACCTGGGGGGGAAACTGCAGGGAAAGGGAATGAGCGGTCACTTACGACTTCTTTGACAGACACCTTCTTGTTGGTGGTTTGAAGGGCTGTGGAGAGCAGCAACGTCAGGAGTAGAATGAAGGCTCGCATGGGAGGGGAAATGTATCACGACGACACTGTGGATGACAACAGCGCCTTGGAGCGCGATGGAGCGTTTCTGAGGAGTTATTATACGAGTCACGAGTGCAACAGTTTTAACCAGTAATACAACCGGAAAGCCCCGGGAGTACTGACAGGATAGACTGTAGTAGCATTTGTATACTCAGTGTGGAAGACCGTCATGAACCTTCACAGTGTTGATAAGCTCAGCAACTACTGAGGCCATGTGAAGACCATGGGTAAAATTTGTATTACTTGTATATTACACTACGTAATGAACGCTTCTATGTAAGCTCAATATAATCGTGCGTGAAATATTCACATTATCGTATCTCTTAACCCATCCTTAATTATTATACCACCCACTTCATTAGACTCACCTCCACATTAACATACCATTTTTGGGGCGAGCGAGAATAATCTTACGCTGTATTCGGAGAGAAAACGGCGCATGATGATGGACAGTTAAAGTCTGTATGCTATTTGTAAGTTACGGAATGGGCTAGTCTAAAGTTCGGAAAATTATCAACGCTTTTGCATGGAATTCAATTTTAGTGATGACGACACATCTAAAGACTACAGTGTGTAAGGCCGCAGTAAAATGCGCTTGAGCCGATTACCTTCAGAATTTTGACGAAGGGTAGGATATGAGGATTTCTAGTGTGGTAGATCTAGACTCAACATCAACCCTGAAGATATAGACATATTATTAATACGAGTGGGAGTTGATACGCCGAAAACAACATTATCACATACACTACATTGAACACCTCATCATCACTTGCATCATTATATTAGCATAGCATAGTAGCTAGCATAGACTTTAGCACAGCTTGTAGGATATTGTGCAATAGGAACGATTGTGGAGGGTCATGAGTAGAGGAGAACAAGGTCCTAGTCATTAGTAACCCACTCGTCACACTAGTATGGTGATGATAGTTTACTTTCAGTAATGCTTCTGCTATACTCCTCTATAGTGGCTTTGGGATGCTGAGGTTATTACTGGCGATTTTGGTGACACTTTCAAAAGCCTATGAGGCCTGGAAAGAAGGCTGTGGTAAGAAGAGTAGGAGAGGTAGAGGGAGTTGTTTTACTCTATCATAGAGAAACACACAAGTAAAGGCATTAGTGTTTATCTGATTTTAAATCACACATTTTGTCTAAGGAGTTTAATCAGTCAATTCACTCCCATGATGACATACCACTCGTAGGTTCGGAAAACTGACCATATCCATATTCACGCTAATGCGGATCTTTGGGAATCCTATAGGGGGCGTATGTAGTTCGTGAGTTGACTAAGTTGAATAGAAGGTTTTCTCAATTTTGAATCCCTTCCGAAATGCACACTGATAATGGTTGTCATACCAATACAGAAATGTGGTATCACCTAGCGAGGATGGATTCCCCTTGTGATGTATGGCTTCTCAGGGTTGTTCCCTCCGCGGCTCTTCGATATACATTTCCCACCAGAGCTCCCACCCATGCCCGTACTCGAATCCTCCTGGCCACGAGTGATCGAGTCGACCCCGCGGTCGGTCGTCGTCACCTTACTGGGACAGCATTTCGATGATTGGATCGATCTGTTGGCTTGCAATATGGGTGGAACACGTCGCATTCCGGCTGTTGTTATCAACGAATCAACACTAGAATGCAAACTGCCATTCACCGGTAGTTCTACCGCAGGGGCGATCTGGTTGAGGTTGGAGACCTTATCGGAGCCCGCGTACCAGACCGACGAGGTTGCTATATTGATTCGTCCTCCTGCCGACTACCGTGCAGTGACTCCCCGACATGCATCCACGCGAGGGCTGGCCAAAGTGTGGATCGACGGCGTTAACTTTCCGTTCATATCAAGGAGATTGAATCGCCCCCGAT